GGTGCCAAGAGTGTCGACTGTGGAGCTGAACAAGCTGAAATTGTTGACAATCTCATTCTCTTCTCCATCTATCATGATGCTGCCAATTGGCCCAGTGGTGAGAATCTTTGTCTTCTTGATGTTGAGCTTCAATCCATATTGAAGGCTACAGTCCTTGACTTTTGCCGGTATCACACGGATCTAATTATTGGAGCTGATTCCTCTAATTTATTCTTCTTCAAAATGGTTTTTCCTATTCCAGTTCCCTTGCCCCTCCATGCATATTTTAATCTTGTCTATAACTACAAAAAAGTCTTGCATGACTTTTCATGTTACTAAACCTGTATATCAATTTGGGGAGGAGTAACATTCTTGCTTTTTTTTTTTTTAATCTCTAAACCGTTTATTTCTCCTGACAGGGAGGTGGGCTGGATTGGGACCTGAAGGGCTGGGCCACTACAGACCAAGGGAGATGAGTGTGGCCCTCAGGCGAAAGTGGAGTTGTTCCATCCCACGTTGGCCGCATTCATGTCATAGTAGTCGATGTAGACTCTGTCGGGGCTGATGTGCAGCCGCTGGAAAGCAGACCGCACAGCAACCTGGTCTAGGTCCGGTTCTGCGCGCCGCCGATCTTGCCGATGCTGTGCAGGCTGCAGAGCGCACAAGGGTCGCTTGAGCCACCGAAAGCCATGAGCTGGTCTGGGACCACTTGCACTGCGATGTACGGGGACAGTTTGCCGGTGGCCTGCGCCAGCTGCTGGGTAAGCTCAGAGAGCAGCCCGTCGGGCACGGATGCGCGAGGCACGTTCGTGTTGACCACAAACATGGGCATGATGGCAGAGAGTAGTGAGCGTGGCATCTGCAGGCCTGGAACAACATTCTTGCTTTTAAGGAACATCCTGGCTATACTTCTAAGATAGATTTGTTCCTTTTGGAACAAACTGTTCATTCCTAGCACACACTGGTCTGCTGGTTTGCTGCACTGAGGTAACCTGGGGTTGCTGTGATGCTGAACACTGTGCCACTGGTGTGTCAAACGCCATAACGGTTACCCATGGTGGACAGGGTTTGGTAGAGCTCCCAGATCAAGACAGGCTTGGAAACAGGATGGGCATCTACTTCCTAAACCACATGCCTTTGGAAACCCTATGAACATTAGAGAAATAACGATAGTTATGGAATAGGGTTCAGATCTTTTGCTTATAGGGTCGCTATGAGTCATACTCAACTGGACGGCACATAAGAACAATAGAAATGCATTTTGTCTTTTTGGCACGTATTCACTGGTTTCAGGAGTTTCACATGTAGCAACCATGATCATCCCTTTCGCCCTGAGGCTTCTTGTTAGTCCTCATCCTTTCTACCTTTCAGCAGCAAGCTTATGTTCTCATGCTTGCTCTATAGCTAACAGCCAGGATTTGAACTGTTAATTAGAGAAATAAAATGTCTCCTCCTTTTTCCAAGAACTCTAAATCTTGATATTTAAAAGAAATTATTCTCCACTGTTATTTCTGTGTCTGCCTAGGTGTTAACTGTCCTATATTGTTGTTTTGGTTAGGTGCTGGCGAATCGAGTGCAACACTATGAACAAAAGATCTGAAACCTGCTCTATCCTGCGCCATCCTCATGCTTCATGGCACCCTGGAGTCCACTGCAGCTGTCCCTGTGTCAATCCACCTGCTTGAGGGTCTTCCTCTCCTTCGCCGACCCCCCACCTTCCCAGCATCATGTCCTTCTCCAGGGAATAACCCCTCCCAGCAACATGCCCACAGTATGTGAGGCAAAGCCTCATCATTCTTGCCTCCAAGCAGCACTCTGGCAGCACCATCTCCAAGAGCGCAGGCATTTCATTTTAGAGCCTTGAATCAATATATAAGTCATGAGGTCAGGCTACCAGGAATGGATGACAGCCATGGGTTTGGAAAAAATCAAAGTCAAGCTTCCCTTTCCATAGACAAGTACTGTCAACTGAAGACTTAGCTCAAGTATGAAGAAGTCCCTCCTTCCCTCAAACCCCTTCAGGAAACTTCTGCTGAGGACTCAGCATTCCATCACGGTACTGACCTGTTGAAACACTTGCACCTGTGGGATTTTTGCCATCTTCTGTCTTCAGAGGGTTAAGAGAAGAGATCTAGCTACTGAGTGGAGAGGGTGAAAGGAGTGCAGGAGGAACTGACGTGCAGTGATGGCGGCAATGAAAGGAGAGGAAGATGATACTATTAAAACTCCAGTGTCCTTATTTCCATAGAATGGCCAAAATCAAGTTCTTTAAAACAAAAGCAAATGGAAGAAGCTCTAGAGAGAAAGGTATCTAGAGGTGTACATTGTTTCTCTCGGTCCCTTTACGCCTTACAAGTGATCAGGAAGTCAAGACTGGGGGATTATCCAAGGTCAGGAAGCTGTCTGTACCACTCCGTCACGTCCCCTTCCAAGACCTTGTCCTACTTTTCAAACAATGGAAGCTGTGATCAACTGTGTCATTTTTATCAATGTTGTTGTTTGTTGTTATGTGCCGTCGAGTCGCTTGCGACTCACAGCGATATCAATAGTTCCAAAAAATGCTTCATTACAACAGGAAGACAATGTTTAGATTTTAGTCTTAAAATTTGTTGAAACTTTGAAATTTTACTGTTGTAAGCTTAGTGAGAATGGAAGCCTAGAAGAGTGTGGGGAGGCTGCAAACAGAGCCTTTTCTCCTGTTTCTCCTCTGAGTTCTCCTGGGGTGACTGGGGTTCAGAATATCAAGATGGTTTTATATTGTTGTTGTTATTTGCTATTGAGCCCCCTGCTTTTTCTATTACAGCATTTATTTCTTCATTTAGTTGATCCATAATTAATTCAGCATCATCACTATCTACTCTTTCAGCTGGGACAATGCTCCCCACCGCCTGCTGTCTGTCAAATTTTTGCGCTAGATCTACAGACCTCCTGAATTATTTTTTCCTTAACATTTATCTTTATAATTGGCTTAAAATCCACTCCTTTTTTTTATACTCTGCCCTCATTTAAGCAACAATATAGACTATATCACAAGTTCGCCATGCTAGTTTTTTCTCATATATGTTAACAGAATTACAGAACTATGAACATAAAATATATCCATAGGCACATCTCTTAAGCTCATCTCCTGGGCAACCAGCAGTGTTCTTAACATACTTTAGGTGATTCTGACCCTGAGTTGACTGTCAACTTATTATATGAATAAAAAAATAAACAACTGTTTTCTATATCTAACAACTGCTACCAATAGTCAGGTTTGTAGGAATGTCCCAGAAATGAGCTTCCGTGCGTGGAAACCTAGAAAGCCCTCGGCAACAGCTCTCCTCTTTCTCTTATGCCTAACAAATGCTGGAGGCACCTGGTCTCCATCCTCAGAGATTCTGAGTCACTAAGTCTGGGATGGGGCCCAACAAGATCCATTTTTAGGACACACCAGAGAATGCTGATGTGGGAAGACCCAAGGACCACATTTCGAAAAGCAATGGAAAACAGGGACCCAAAATTTGTAAAAACCACTCTAGTTTTTTGCAAGAGGGTTCAGAATAAAAGTCTGTGTGATTGAGAGCAAGTCATTTAGCCTCTTGAAGCCCTGGTTTTCTCTATTAGATGATGACAGCTACCTCATGAGGTCATTCTAGGCTTTAAATGGATGATATATAAAAGCCCTACCAAATCCTGGAGTTCTATGTAAGGTTTGATGATGATTACGAGCCATGCTTAGCAATCTATATATTAGGTCAGCTCATGCAATGGCTTTCCAAAGGCCTATCTTGGTTACCCTAATTTTGAGAAATACTTTATATAAGACTTATAAAAGAAAAGCAATACAACAAAACAAACCAACAAAATCCTTTTGGGAGAAAGACAGACAGCAGGGAACCTATGCAGAAGCACGCTATGACGTTCTCTCTGGGCAGACTGTCCAGTTCCACTGAAATGCAGTCCACCTCCCTTAGGCAACAGTACAGGTGAACTAGGATGAAACAACCTCAACTAGGCTCAATCTCAAGGCACTTGCTGCACGTGTTATGAGCTAAAGAGGAACTGAGACTAAAGGCCCTAATCAAGGAGCAGCTATTTCTAAGAGAAGACAATAGGACCCTCACTGTGACTTGGTGGTGATAGAGATCCATGACCCTGAGAGACTAGTAACTGCTGGCAGTCCAAGATACCACCTGTAGCTCGCATATGCTTGTAAAGTCTGTTATCTCTCTCCAGCAGGTGAAAAAGACTATGAAACACCAAAACCTCAGTCTGAGTCAACACAACAGACTCCTGAAATGTAAACATGGCCTCATCCGTTGCACTTGAAACTTTTTTTTTTTTACATTAAGTCAGTTTTTGTTTAGCCTTAACAAAAATGAAACAAGGAATTTTTCCATTTGATTCAGGAGATATTTACTAAGCATCTATTAGACGCCAGGTTTATGAAAGTGCTGAGTGAAAGAGCCCTAGTCCCTACCATCAGAGAGCCAGCCTATCTACCACCCTTAACTTCGGAACAAGTAAGAAATCCAACTTGGAAAACAGACAAGAGACTTCTCCCTTGAGTAAGAACTTCACAAGGAAGCTGCCCATACAACTCTTGAGATCTAGCATGTTTTCTGCACTGTGTTTTCATATATTAAGAACTTATTCAAGTTGAGCTGAATACTCACCAATAGCACCTAAGTTTAAAAAGAAATTATGTTACAGAAATCAACCTGATGCTTTGTGGAAATGAGCATTCTAACAGAAAATGCATGCCTCTTTAAATAAGAAAATGGAACTTGACTTTTTAAAGACCTATGACCATGTAAAGCTAGCCCCCCCCCCATTATAAAACCTGACCAGGAGTACTAGAAAGTGATTAACATCTCTCTGCAATTTCAGGTCCAACAACAGAACATTTCTTCCCTTATTCCCAAACAAATAGCAGTGGAGCTTGGACTCCCAGAGTTGGAACTTGTTGGAATTAAAACTGCAAAGCTCCTTGGCTACTTAGTGACTGATCATGAATAAAGCATTTAGATGCAGCTTACCTTGTAATCTCTGGACACATTTTCTGATGTCACTGAACCTGAAATCTGACTAGAAATTGTAGCAGCTATAAGCTGTTTACACCACTCAACATGAGATCCTGTAGGACTAAAGAAAACAGTGTCATTAAACAATCTTAAACCAAAGGCCCCTTAGTAGGATTATACAAACATTTTCTTTTTTTAGAGGAATGAACTTTTATTAGACCAATTAGTGGCCTGTATATTGAATATAAGACCTAAAATAATGACTGACAACCAGGATGGAAGATAAGGTTCCAGATAAATTTCATGAGTCAACCAGTTCCCAAAAGTGCAAGTTCTAGTGAAGTGTGTTATTCGCTACGATTTCATGGAATTTGACTCTGGTACCGTTAAAAAGAACGCACATTCTAATGTCATCTATAGAAAATACATTCTAATGTGACATACACGCTAGTTCCTAGCCTCATAAAGGAATCTCATATTTGACAATACATGTTTGTCACTCCCTCACTCTACTTCACACCAGCAGTTTCAAATCTAGAGAACAGTATAATTTCTAAGTGACTCTTCAGGGAGTCAAGTTAACGATATGATTTTTCTCGGGAACAAACCAGGAAAACCATGTCCAGCATGCAATAATGACACCTTCCTTTTCACGTGGGTCCTGCCAACTTATACATGAATTACACAATCCCCAGGTGTCAAGAAGGCAGAACGGGGGGGGCATGTTAGAAGGTGGCTATTCTTCCATGAGCGGGCAGGACACTGAGCTGAGGGAAGAACAGAAGCCAGGGCCACTGGTGCTGGCAAATCACCTTGTAGGTGCAGAGCGTCAGGTCAAGAGAAACGGCTTTCAGTTTGCACAGTGCTCTAAGGGTCCGAAGCCCCTCCACCCACTGCTTGCAGCCTGGGAGTCTCCTTTATGGCCTTCTTTCAACACTTCTTTCCCTCAGTGTGTTTTCTCTGAGGGGGACACCTTTACTTTGAGAACCAACCACCCATCCCATCCCGCCTCACATGTGGGGAGGCCCCTTCTTTCTCCTACTCTCAGCAGTCTGGTGGGAGGAGCCACCTCAGCACCTCAGGAGCCCACAATGACAAGAAAACAACACTGGGTGTGACCCTGGAGCCAAATGTGTCCACAGCCATGTCTCTCCATCCAGTCCAGCTGCACAGCCATTTTGTCTTCATTCATTTAGAGTTAGTGGGTGTTCTGTGTCATCTGCTCTTCAACGAATGTAAGTAACAGAGTGGGCTGGCTCGCCCTCGAGTCCGGCCTGTGAGCGTGAGTTCGGGGACTCCGAGCAAGCCACATACTCTAGCAGAGCTTCGGTTTCATCATAAAGAGAAGTATAGTGTTAGGAAGGGAAGTGAGGGTCACACAGTCAGCGGGTACAGTCAACTTACACTCTAAACCAGGCTCCCTTCTACGTCTGCATGCCTCGAAGCCTGTCGGGGTGACAGAACCGGGTGAGGGGCTGGGCTCTGCTGCCCCTCTGCCTCCTGGCCACACACCTTCCCTTGAGCAACCAGGTTGGGGAGCCTAGGTCAGTTCCTCAAAGCCAGACTCTCCTGATGCAAACCTCTCGTCTGTGGCAGATACTGCCCACTCACCGTGCACAAGCCCCCCCATCTACTCAAGCTGGCAACCTGCTCCCCTCCTGTGTTCTCAGCTCTGCAAGCACCCACCACTTCGCTCTCACATGCGAATGGCCCCCTTTCACTGGTTAAGCCTGCTAAGGAGCCCCCTTTCCTATCCCAGTAGCTTTTCTTCCAGCCGCTGAAACCATAGCACCATCTGGACACCAATGGCAGCCCCAACTTCTGAGCCCACGTCAACCCACTGCCTCTGTGGCCTCTGAGGGGTGGCGAAAGAGGGGAAGATATTCAACCTGGTGGGTTGACGTGGTGACTGCAGCAATGGCCTCACGTGTGCCTGAGACTGTGAGGACAGCATGGGACAGGACAGTGTTCAGATGGGTTGTTACTGGATCACAAGATGGCACCTACCAATAACAACACTGGCCACGTACAGTCTTCACAACCAAGTGCCATCACTCTTTGTCTGAACCCTCATTCTCCCACCTGCATTCCGGTGAGTCCAGTGTCCACACAGGGGCCAGAGATAGCACTCCTTTGCCCACAGCCCCCCGTGGCCGCCACGTGACCAAGGCCTCCAAACCTCTCTACCATCAGCCCCTTGGACCTTTGGGGCCTCATACCCTGCTTTCCCCCTAAATCCTTCCACATCAGGGCCACTGTCTCCTCCTTCAACTGTGAACAGTGCGCACTAGTCCTACCCCAGGGCCTTTGCACAGGCCTCTGCTTAGAAAGTCACTACCCAGATAGCAGATTGGCTAGACCCCCACCAATTCCTAGTCTTTGCTCAAATGGCAACTCTCTCGGCGAGCCTTTCCCAGACACCCAAGCACGGCCCCTAACCTGTCCGGTCCCCTTCTAGCTTTTGTTCCCCTTGTCCCTAGCATATATCCCCATCTGGCACAGCACATGTGTTCCTTGCTCACTGCCCCTCTTTTCCAACACAGCATAGATGGTCCATGAGGTTTGGGATGGGTGTACTGGAACCACTGATGGGATACTGGGGGAGGCTCTCAGTGAGCTTGGACCTCCTGAGACGACTGCCAACTGACATTTGTGTGGAATCACAAAGACAAGACAGGCCCAGGCTTTCTGGACAGGAAGGAAGGCTTTCTGGAATGTGCCTTTATCCCATGATGGGTCCTGATGCAGTCCAAGTGCTAACAGAAACGTCAGAGGTTCAAAGCCAAGGCGCTCCACTGGAGAAAGCTATGACCGTCTGTTGCATTGAGTCCATTCTTCTGAGACTATAAATCTTTATGGACGCAGAATGCCTATCTTTGAAACCCCTGAACCCCAACCTACCCTGTCACACAGCACACCCCCATACTGCCTCACCTTGGAGTTAGAACCTAGCATTTTGTGTTTTTAACAACCACCTGATTCAGAAGAGCTATGCTTTACTGATCGGGGTGCACAGTTAACGGCACCCTCCTCCAGCGCTCGGCAGTGTTACCGTTTGGACGAGACTTCTACATGTCCTGGTGGTCTCTGCTCACGGAGCAGCTAAGGAGCCCGAGGCCTGGCATCATGGGAAGGCCGCCTGCGACCCGGGGAGCCCACCTGTGACCCCGCGGAGGCGCCCAGCCAAGCTGCCCCAGGCCCGCACCAGCACTCACGGCTTCCCTTGTCACTCTGCCTCGGGAAACTCCCCGAAGTTGAGCTCACCGCCAGGACGACTGCAGGCGGGGCCCCGCTCCTAACAGAGGTCAGTAGGTGGTGGGTGGAGCGGGGATCCCGGGATGGGGGGCACCGGGTCTCCCCTCCCCGCGGGGCCTGGCCCGGTTCAGAGCTCGGGAAGACAAAGCACCAGAGAGCCCGGGTCTGCGCCAGGTGCCCTTTGGGGAGGACGCTGGCTCCCCGGTTTTTGAGGATCTTTGCTCGGGCGCCCTCAGCGTGCACCCCTCATTCCCCACTCTGAATCGCAACGCCAAAGCCAGCGGGACCTAACGCCCAAAGAGGAGAAAACCGCGGCCGAAGCCTGGGGTGAGCCGGTGTGATCCCCGTTTGCGAGGCGGAAGTGCCCAGGTGCCAAGGAGGGGGTCCTGTGAAGGGCTTCGGGGGGCTCCCAGGGCAACCCGGGGGGTGGTCGGTCTGGGACGAGGCCCGGGGGCCCCGCGGTGGTGGGAGAGAGTCCTGGGGGGTCACTAGCGGAGACCCACTGAGCGAGGCGGTCTGGAGACAGGGTCCGGGGCAGAGAGGAGGGGCGCCCACGGCGGCCTGGGGCGGCCCGGCCTGGAACGGGGCCCTGGGC